CTGTAAAGTGTACAACTTAATAGCATTTAGTGCAATACAGTGTTGTGCAACCATCACCTCTATCTAGTTAGAAGATATTTTCATCAACCCTGAACTCATTAACAGTTACTCCTCATTCCCTCCTGCTCCCATCCCCTAGCAACCACTGGGCTGCTTTCTGTCCCTGTGGATTTGCCTATTTTGATTTTTCATATAAATGGAGTGACCTACAATATGTGACCTTTTGTGTCTGGCTTCTTTCCCTGAGCATAATGTTTTGAAGTTTCATTCATGTTGTAGCATGTATCAGTATTTTGTTCCTTTTTAGGGCTAAATAACATTCCATTGTATGTTATATGCAGGTCACATGTATATATATATTGTATGTGTGCATACATTTCATTTATCTGTTATCTATGGATGGGTAGTTGGGTTGTTTCTACCTTTTGGCTATTGTGAATAGTGCTGCTGTGAACATTTATGTGTGAGTATTTGTTTGAATACCTGTCTTCATTTCTCTTTTGTATATGCCTAGGAGTAGAATTGCTGGATCTTAAGGCAATTGTATGTTTAACTTTTTAAGGAATCACCAAACTCTTCCATGTTTTACCACCAGCAATGCATGAGGGTCTCAATTTCTCCACATCCTTGCCAGCACTAGTATTTTTCATTCTTTTTTTTGTATTATGGCCCACCTAGTAGGGAGACGAAGTGATATCTCATTGTGGTCCCAGCTCTTTCTCAAAGAAGCTTTCTTACTCACAGCATCTCTTTTCTCAGAAGCCTGCCATCCCACCTTGGTTGACTTCTGCCCCTCCACCTCCCCTTCCTCCCTCCAGTGCTGACTACTTCGCCCTTTCTGTCTCTCCTTAAGGTATGTGCTGTCCAGGTGAAAAACACTGGTAAGATGTATGCCTGTAAGAAATTGGACAAGAAGCGGCTGAAGAAGAAAAATGGAGAGAAAATGGCTCTCTTGGAAAAGGAAATCTTGGAGAAGGTCAGCAGCCCTTTCATTGTCTCTCTGGCTTATGCCTTTGAGAGCAAGTCCCATCTCTGCCTGGTCATGAGCCTGATGAACGGGGGAGACCTCAAGTTCCACATCTACAGCGTGGGCGAGCGGGGCCTGGACATGAGCAGGGTGGTCTTCTACTCGGCCCAAATGACCTGTGGTGTGCTGCACCTCCACTCCCTCGGCATCGTCTACCGGGACATGAAGCCTGAGAACGTGCTTCTGGATGACCTCGGCAACTGCAGACTGTCTGACCTGGGGCTGGCCGTGCAGATTCAGGACGGCAAGCCCATCACACAGAGGGTGAGTGGCTCTCCCTTGGCCCCAAGGGTGGGGCACAGAGTTGGAGAAGATGGGGAGAGAGCTGTTCTATTCCCAGGGCGAACAGAGCCTTGGACTTAATGCTTCTAATTTCCTTGTACCTAAAGCCCTTATGCTGTCATCTTGCTTTAAGTAGAGTGGTATAAGAGGATTAGCTTAACTGGTTCTTTGGGGCTACTTTGTTCTTCTCTCATCGGAAGCATATGGGAACCTACTTTGTGAGTTGGAGATGGTCTGTGCCTTCACAGTGAATTCACAGCTGGGACCTAGGTAGGTCCCACCAATAACCAACTCTCTGGTGCCATGTTCCTGAGTCCATAGGGCCTTGGTTTCCTCTTCTGGAAAATTATAGGGGCTGGACCCTAAAATTCCAAGATTCTAGGAGGTAAAAATTCATAGGATAAGAAAAAGAAGAATACCCCAGCACTTAGCACATTATAGCAAATATCTCCTTCCCTGTTGAGCATGGAATGGGGGAATGTTTTACTTTGGACAAAGGTGAAATTTTAAATGAAAAAATATATACAAGAGAACAAAGGCAACTGATGTTTATTTTGATCAATTTGGTTCAAAGTGACTTGTAGAGAATTCTTTGATTAAAAGAGAATTATAATTAAGCAATCATGTTAAGTGAATAATACACAATCTCTCGAATTCTGACAGGTCTTTACCACTCAGTTTCTGGGCACAAAAGTGGGAGAATTCCCAGGAAGGCAAGGGGTCAAGTCAGGATCCTAAATTTTCTCTTTAAACTTTGTTTTTGCACAGTTTCCAGCTTACAAGGCAGAGAGGACGATCAGGCAAGGAAGCAGGGGAAATCAGGGCAAGTCTGGGAAACTGAAGATGATTTTATTTGGCTATAAAGTAAGGGGTGTTTTGACAAGATCGTAGGGCTCAGATCATGCAAAGGCATTGGAATTCTCTCTTGTGAGGGACAAGGAGCCGTTGAAGGGTTTTAAGAAGGGGAATGACATGGTTAGATTTGCATTTTTGAATCAATTTGGGTTGTAGATGGGAGGCTGAAGTGCTAGTTAGGAGGCTTAGGCAGTGGCCCAGGAAGGGATGATGGGGCCTGTATAAGACAGTAGGCTTGAAAAAGTGGGAGTAAATTGGAGCAGCTGGAAAGAAACCTGATGGGACTTCAGTGCCAGCTGGGTATGAGGGTGAGGGACGGGGAGGCTCTCTGGCTCCAGTGACTAGAAGGAGGAGCAGAATTGTGGGAAGGCTGGCAAGTTTAATTGTGACTGTATGTATTGAGGCTCCTGTGTGACAGGCAGGTGGACACTTAGATCTAAAATCTGGCGCTGTGGAGAAGGGCCTAGGCTAGACATCGTGATTGGGAGTCATTGTGGCTTGAGAAGCAGTGGACACCACTGGGTCATTTGGGAAACAGTGGAGGAAGAGGACCAGGGACATCAACATGTAGGGGGTATGGAAGAAGAGGGCCCTTGAAGACGTTAAAGAAGTAGGCGGGAGTGGCATAGTCATGGGAGCTGTATCAATTCAGGGTTGATTTCAGCAGCATATCATAGAAAACCAAAATAACACTAGATTGAACAAGAGAGGGAGTTATTTTTCTTATGTAACAAATAGTGTGGAAATGAGCATGTCTGGCATTCATTCTGTAGCTACAGGATGATGGGATTGACATCTCTGTGATTATGACCTTTCCCGTGTGTTGCAAGATGGCTGCTCTAGCCCCAGCCATCATGTCCATGTTCTAGGCAGGAGAAAGGAGGAAGGATCAGGAGTAAATGGGTATGCACACAATGACTGAATATGTCTTCCTTTAAGGAGCTTCCCTAGAAAGCCCATCTGACAGCTCCCATTTAAATTTCATTGTCTAGAAATGTTATCTGGCCATCCTATCTGCAGGGGAAGCTGATAAATGACTTAATTTTTTTTTTTTTGAGGAGAAAGGAGTTCTCATTAGTAAGGAAGGAGAAAGGCAGGATATGGAGCAGTAACTGGCAGCCTCTGCCAGAGGAGCCAAAGGAGAAGAGGATTTAAGGGAGGAGAGTGGTCAGCTCTGTCAAATGCAGCCAAGTGGTCATGTAGTTTGTGGGATTTGACAATTAGGAAACCACAGTGTCCTCAGGAAGAGAGCACCTTTCTTTTTTTTTTCTCCTTTATTTAATTGAAGTTTAGTCAGTTTACAATGTTTCAATTTCTGGTGTACAGCATAACGTTTCAGTCATACCTATGCATACATATATTCCTTTTCACATTCTTTTTTCATTATAGGTTACTACAAGGTATTGAATTAGTTCCCTGTGTATAGAGTAGAAACTTGTTTATCTATTTTATATATAGTAGTTGGTATCTGCAAATCTCAAATTCCCAATTTATCCCTTTTCACCCCTTTCCCCCTGGTAACCATAAGTTTGTTTTCTATGTCTGTGAGTCTGTTTCTGTTTTGTGAATAATATCATTTGTGTCTTTTTTTTTTTAAGATTCTACATGTAAGTGATATCGTATGGTATTCTTCTTTCTCTTTCTGGCTTACTTCACATAGAATGACAATCTCCAGGTCCAACCATGTGGTTGCCAGTGACATTTTATTATTTTTTATGGCTGAGTGGTATTACATTGTGTAAATATACCACAGCTTCTTTATCCAGTCTTCTGTCGGTGGACATTTAGGTTGTTTCCATGTCTTGGCTATTGCAGATAGTGCTACTATGAATATTGGGGTGCATGTATCTTTTTAAATTAAGGTTCCCTGTGGATATATGCCCAGGAGTGGGATTGCTGGATCATATGGTAAGTTTATTTTTAGTTCTTTAAGGAATCTCCATACTGTTTTCTATAATGGCTGCATTCCCACCAGCAGTGTAGGAGGGTCCCCTTTTCTCCACACCCTCTCCAGCATTTATCATTTGTGGACTTTTGAATGATGGCCATTCTGACTGATGTAAGGTGATATCTCATTGTAGTTTTGATTTGCGTTTCTCTGATAATTAGCGATACTGACCATTTTTTCATGTGCCTATTGGCCATTTGTATGTCTTCATTGGAGAATTGCTTGTTTAGGTCTTCTACCCATTTTTGGATTGGATTTTTTTTTTGTTATTAAGTTGTATGAGTTGTTTGTATATTCTGGAAATTAAGCCCATGTCAGTCACATCATTTGCAAATACTTTCTCCCATTCCATAGGTTGTCTTTTTGTTTTGTTTGTCGTTTCCTTTGCTGTGCAAAAGCTTGTAAGTTTAATCAGGTCCCATTTGTTTATTTTTGCTTGTATTTCTATTGCCTGGGTAGACTGCCCTAGGAGAACATTGCTGAGATGTACATCAGAGAATGTTTTGCCTATGTTTTCTTCTAGGAGGTGTATTGTGTCTTGTCTTATGTCTAAGTCTTTAAGCCATTTTGCGTTTATTTACATGTGGCTGTCCAGCTTTCCCAACACCACTTGCTGAAGAGCGTTCTTCCTCCATTGTATATTCTTGCCTCCTTTGTTGAAGATTAATTGATCATAGGTCTGTAGGTTTATTTCTGGGCTCTCTATTCTGTTCCATTGATCCATATGTCAGTTTTTGTACCAATACCATGCTGTTTTGATTACTATAGCTCTATAGTATTGTCTGAAGTCTCAAGGGTTATTCCTCCAGCTTCATTCTCTTCCCTCAGTATTGCAGATGGCAATTCGGGTCAATTCTGGGTCTTTTGTGATTCCATATAAATTTAGGGTTATTGATTCTAGTTCTGTGAAAATGTCCTGGGTAATTTGATAGGGATCTCATTAAATCTGTAGATTGCTTTGGGTAGTATGGCCATTTTAACAATATTAATTAGGAAGAGTAATTTTCAAGGTCAAAACTCAGACAGTGGAAGTTTGATTGGCCTGGAAAAAGAGAGCGAGACTAAGGAAGGAGGGAGGTTCATTGCTAGAGGAGGACACAGGGAGGAGAATGGAGTTTTAAGGTGGGGAGAGTGGAGATTTGGTTGCTGAGACAAGAATCAGGAGAGAAAGTGCTGGTTCTGTAGGAAGGAAAGCGGCTGAATGATGGTGGAGAAATGGAAGTTTCACTGTCTCCTAAGTGAGGTGTGGGGGGAGGGCAGAGCAGAGATGGGGAGATAGGGAGGAGGCAGAGTGTTTGCCTCCTTGGGACTTTACTATAAAAACAGAAATGTCATGAATCTGTATCTGTCTCTGCATGAAAAAATCGAAATGTTTTACTTCAGGGTTTTAAATTTGTATTGTCAGTTATGCAGAGGGGAAATGTTCCTTCTAAGTGTCCCATAAGTGTGTATCATGCTAATTGGTGATGCATCTCTACCTTGCTGGAGGTTAAGGAGACACATAGCTCTCTCTCTTGTAAATCCCTTCTCAGTCTTCCTCTAGCTCTGCTCACGGGCCAAGAGAATTTTCCCGTACAGTTCCTTCAGTGTCTCCTGTGTCCAGCTCTCCAGCACTTTTGAAACCTGCAGGAAACTTTCTGTGCCTCCTCAGTATTGTCCACTATAACAAATGCAGTTGGTGGAGAAGTTTCCTGCCTAGAGATCTCTGGCCCTTTTGCCTTTCCTGAGTCCCTCTTTGTTCCATAAGACCAAACTCATTTGCCCTCTCCAAGAAGTTTTATACCCTAGTCCTCAGGCCTGCCTCTGAAGTCCAGATGACCATCAGGAAGGGTGGGGGGAAAGAGTCAGAGAGAAAGTTTAGAAGCCATAAAAAGGAGGGAGGGTAAGCTCAAGTGGTATTGTAAATTTTATATGCACTGGGAAATATGCTTAGTGTGTACAAGGTCCTGGGTTCAATCCCCAGTACTCTCTCTAAAAACATAAATAAATAAATAAATAAACCTAATTACCCCCCCAAAAAGCAATAGAAATAAATAAATTTTAAAAAAGAAAGAAACTATAAAAATAAAGATAGAGAAAAGGAAAGCCTCTCTCCTTCACTGTTTACCCCTCTATACAGTTAAGCGGAGCCCCTCAGTTTCCTATTCTCTGCAGCTCCAGCACATATAACTGGGCCCCC